ACAGGACCTTGAGTTCCCTCCTTAACTTTCCTTTATTAAGTCAGACTCAAACCGCATAGGCCTTCCAGTGGAGGATCCCTTCAGGAGAAGGGTTGTCTCCAGCAGCTCTTCAAACGGAGGGCTGTCCTTGCTAGGAGAGGGAGATGGGGCCGGTCTCCTTCCCACGGCTTTATTGCCAGGGGCAAATATTCCTGCTTATCAAGGGTGCCTCGGTGTAAATTCCGGTGCCCGGAGATCAGAAGCCTCTGGTTCCCTGCCTGTCACTTTCCGGGGGGTGTGTGTGTTTCTAAATGGCCAGGGGTAGATACTGCTCAGCATTTCCAAAAACACTGACTGAGCACATGTGACTCTATAAAACCAGAAAGGATCTCCACTAGATCATAGCAGCTCTGAGCTCTTCCCATTCCTGCGTACATGGGATCTAAAAAGCGACACTGGATCCAGCAGCCAGTATAAGAGAGTGAAAGACACCCACCCTGCCTACGTTGTTCCCAAAACCCACATTAAAGCCGCCTGGGATAGTAAGCGATGTGTCACGGGATGGCAAGAGACCAGCCCGGTGCAGTTCTTGGTTCGATGTCGTGGAGACGGAGGTAGCCCTCGGTCTCGCAATAAAGGATGTGTCAGGTTCCCTGGGAGAGAAATTCAAGGAAGCCTTAAGGAAGATATGAACCTGTAGGGTCGAGGGATTACGTTCCCAACACCCTCGCACCCGAGAAGGAAAAGCTTCACAATAGGATCCAGCTTCAAAAGTGCCGTCTGCGCTGACCCTGTTTGAAGGTGAAGTTGGAGATCCACTTTGTCGTGAGATGTCGTCAAGTCACTTCTTAATTATGGTGACCCTAGTAAGGGTTTCAAGGGGTGGGAAATGTTCAAGGAACAGATTATCCCTTCCACCCTAACCTCCAGACAGTTTCCATGGCCAAATGGGGATTTGAACCTTGGTTTCCGGAGGCCTGGTCTGGCACCCTGCCCACTATGCCATGCAGAGAGCTACCAGTAGTCACGGACCTGCACTGCTGGTATACGACTTTGCTGCACCAGACAGAGTCTGTCTTTCACTTCTAAGGACGCAAGTTTCTAGTCCTTATTGCAGAGCAGGGGGGAAAGGTTTAGGGGAGCTTGGGAGTGCCTCAGAAATCTAGACACCAACTTGGCAAGAGGCCTCGTTGGTCTGACAGCAGCTCATCGCTGGGAGTAGCACTGTATTCATGATCCTCCCATGCCAGGTTGTCCCTTAAAAATGTGTGATTTCGGGGAAAATAAATACAACCGAGGTCAAAAGATAGAAAGAAACGTCTAAGGAAGAATGGCTGCTTTCTGCACCCTTTTCTGGAAGCTTATGTCCCATCAATCTCCTGATATTCCTTTTGCCTAGCCATTGTATGGCCAGGGTTTTTCCTGCAGATCCTTGCTTTTGCATCCTGGCGCATTTCTCTGCAGGATTGATTAAAAGGTAGCCCATTCTTCCAGCCTTAAAGATTCCACTTGCTTGTTGGTTCGTTCATTTTCCCCACCCCTGCTTTTCTCCTCTGTCTTTTCCCAAGTCAGCTCCTCTGAGTTCCTTTAGGAAGACAGAATTGTATGCTGTAAATCAGCCTTCTGGGTAGCTCCGTGGTTTAGGTCTTTGACTGCGGAGCCAGAGTTTGGGAGTTGGATTTCTCGTAGTGCGTTCAGGGAGCAGAGCCAGCCAGAGTGGCCTTGGGCAAGCTGCCCAGTCGTCCCGGGGCACCCCAAAAAGGAGAAAACGGTGTATCCTCTACCTGGAAGACCCTGGAAAGGGTCACCATAAGTCAGAATTTGATTTGACGGCACATCATCATCAAGTCAGCTCAGGACAGGCAAGTCCTGCTACAGCTGCAGGGTCAGTGCGTAACGGGACCAGATCCGGCTCTGTCATGAGGCAGAGTGAGGACACTGTCCTCTCTCTCTGTCTCTCTCTCTCTCACACACACACACACACAAAGAGAGAGGGGGGGGCAGTCGCACAGCAACTACATGTTAGTTTTGCGACAGAAATATTGAAACCAGCTTTCTGTTGCAAACCTCAGTTTGCACATCAATCTCAGCCAGATCTAGGGCTAATTTGGCTCAGAAACTGAAGAATACACACACACACACACACACACACACACAACCTAAAATATCACACACACCCTGCATTGTCAAAAAGGTCTGCAGTGGTGCAATTTCTCTCTTCCCCCCGTGGTGGGACAGGTCCCAGATGCTTTCCCATCTTACTTGCAGTGATTTTTAAACCTATACAACCTTCAGAAAACCTTGTTTGGAAAAAAAGCACAGCTCTAAAACACCTGGCCATAACCACGGAAAGCAGTTGGGAGGCTGAATTTTCAATGTTTTTGAATGTTACCCTCCCGTGCCAGCGCCACGTGCAGTGGCCACTCACTGTGCCGACTGGAGTGGTCCATTAAATCGAGTCTTGCTGATGGACCTGACTTGCGCCGACACATTTTTCCGATCTCACTGTTGTTATTGGCTGAAGGTTGTGTTGTTGCTGCTGCTGTTACATGCTGTCTGGTCACACTCGACCTGTCGGAATGCTGATACGTAGAGTTTTCGAGATACATGAAATGTTTAAGTCATTTTATCAGTCATCCCCCGCACCCTACCCCAGCGAGTTTCCGTGGCTGAGCAGAGACTCAAATCCAGGTCGCCTGAGTCTTAATCCATCACTCTCGTCTTCTGCGCCACACTGGGAGCTGTAGTGCACCTTATATTAAAAACAGACAACAGTGTACAGAATAATGTAAGCCAAAAGGTCTTTATCTTAAGGAGTTTGCAATATCCCCTTTTTCTTAAGCTGCCAAAAATGTGTTTGCGGACCTTGCTTGGATGTTTCTCATCTAAAATTCAAGTGGAAATTGCGGTGGGTTCATGTGATACGCCGTGTGTGTGTTGAGCTAATTGGTCTTTATGCCCTGCTTTAAAGAGGTTGCCAAGAATCTTGCTAGCGACAGCTGTCCATAAAGGGGGCAGCACTGCCGCCTGGCGGTGGTTTAATCAAAGAGCGGCTGCAGCTTTCATCTCAAGAATATTCCACGAAAGCTTGCTACTTATTTACTTTTCTAGTAGTCCAATAAAAGGGACCGCCCACTCTTGTATCTCTGTAATCTTGGGGAACCACATGGCCGATTCCTTGGTTTTTCAAAAATATTCTTGGTTAAGGACAAAATAACTAATAATTGTGTGCCGTCAAGTCAATTCTGACTTAGGGTGACCCCTTTTAAAAGGTTTTCCAGGGAGAGAATACTCCAAAGTGGTTTCCCGTTTCCTTCTTTGGGGGTTGCAATGGGACTTTGCAAGGGACGTGGTGACGCTGAGGGTTAAACCGCGGAAGCCTCTGTGCTGCAAGGTCGGAAGACCAAGCAGTCCTAAGATCAAATCCACGTGACGGAGGGAGCTCCCGTCATTTGTCCCAGCTCCTGCCAACCTAGCTGTTCAATAGCAGGCAAAAATGCCAGTAGATAAATAGAGACCACCTTGGTGGGAAGGTCACGGCGTTCCGTGTCTAGTCGCGCTGGCCACGTGACCACGGAAACTGTCTTCATACAAATGCTGGCTCTACGGCCTGGAGACAGGGATGAGAACCGCGCCCTAGAGTCGGACATGACTGGACTAAATGTCAAGGGGAACCTTTACCTGGGACTGTGCATTTGGCCCAAGGCCCCACAGGCTGGCTCTTCTGGAATGACCAGAGGACTCCCAACCTCTGGCTGCACAGCTGGATATTGAACTCTATGGAGCTATCCAGACAGTGGTTATGGACTGAGGGAGTGATAAAGCATGGAGGCCCTTCCATGAGTAACAGCTTAGACATGTTGTTTCCAAAGTTCCTTTTTAACACCCTCTTAAGACCTCCCCATGGTCTTCTTCCTTCAGCCATCAGAAAACCCACAGAGGCATCGGTCCTGAAAGTACCCAACAATACCGATTCTGGCCATTTTTCCGTCACACCTGCAGCAGTTTTAAATTTACACCACTCATTTGAACTTGTTTAGTGGTTTGCAGTCGTTCCTCTTTATCCAAAAAAAACTGTATTTTTTTAAAAAAAATCTTAATTGATGTAACGGACTCAGGAAGTCTCCACTCAGACTAAGTACTTCCTGGATTCTGAGTGGATTAATTGACCGTTGGAACCAGGGTGTACTTACTCCATGCAAAGGTTTTCTTGAATCCATCAAGTTAATGGACATGTTTTTTTTAATTGCATTTTTAAATAAAAAAATTAATGCTATAGAAACAGTGCCAAAAAGTTTTCTGAAGGTTGTATAGGTTTAAAAATCTGCAGGTAAGAGGGGAAAGCATCTGGGACCTGTCCCACCACCGGGCGGTGAGGGGGGGAGAGAAATTGCACCACTGCGGACCTTTTTGACAGTGCAGGATGTGTGTGGTATTTTAGGTTCTCTCTCTCTCTCTCTCTCTCTCTCTCTCTCTCTGTGTGTATTCAGTTTCTGAGCCAAATTAGCCCTTGATCTGGCTGAGATTGGTGTGCCTCTCTGAACCTATTAGGAGCCTCTCGTAACCTTTCATGTTCTATTAAAGAGAGTGGGAGCTTGCCCAACAGCCTCTGAATATGTGGGGTAAGGTTGCAGAGGGAAGGAGCATTCCAGGGGAAGCCTTTCATCCTCCCCTGGGTGGTTGGCCGGATACAGCTGGTGGGCCTTTTGTTGCTGACCATTCTGAAATGAAATTCCTTTTGAGCCACCGAATGATTGAGTCCTATTCATTCCAAGAGGCAAAGCAGGAGTGGTGAAATCAGCGCCAGGAAAAGGTGCCTCGTACTCGGAAGGACAGGAGTAGGATGGGATGCCGGGGTACTCCCAAGCTTCAGAGCCAGAGCCCATCTCAGGAAGAACCCTGTATCATTTGCGAATCCTGAAATAATTTCCAGCCTACGGTCAGGATTTCTTCTTTCTGCACAGCCATCTCTCTCCTAAAAGGTTTCCTTCCCTCCCCTTTTCTTGCCCCTCCGTCCGCAGGCTGGTGGAAGAGTTCATGCTGTTGGCCAACATGGCTGTCGCCCATCAGATCTACCGCACCTTCCCGACGAAAGCTTTGCTCCGCCGGCATCCGCCGCCGCAGACCAAGATGCTCAGCGACCTGGTGGAGTTTTGCAACCAGATGGGCCTGGACATCGACTGCACCAATGCAGGCACCTTGCACGTGAGTGTGGGCGCGTGCATGTAAAGGTGCAGCTGCCCTCCCGCTCTGCCCTGAAACCTCTTGGTCTGTAAGGGTTTTTCTTCTTTCTTTCTTTCTTTCTTTCTTTCTTTCTTTCTTTCTTTCTTTCTTTCTTTCTTTCTTTCTTTCTTTCTTTCTTTCTTTCTTTCTTTCTTTGCACTGTTTTCCCTTCCTAGATTTTTTTTTCTTTTTCTGACCCCCTTGGAGGAACAGCTGCTGGTCGGAAACCTTGTGGCAGAACCTCCTACATCCAACAAGGACTGTCTGTCGTCCTGCCTCTACATCCCAAGCTAGTTGGCGGATGGTGTTGACCCCGAGAGAGGCCCGGAAGGAGATAATGAGGAACCGGGCCTTCTTGGCGGTTACTCCTCCGCTCTGAATTTGGCTTTGCCCCCTCTCTGGCGACTGAAAAAATCCTTTAAAACTCCCTTATTCCGGCAGGCTTTTCGAAATACTCCATATTCTGAATAGCCCTCAGACAGTATGAGTCTATCCTTCGGTATTTCAATGGTTGCCTGTTTTTTAAATGTAACATTCACTTCATCTTTAATTTTATTATCACTTTTAACTATCTTTATGTTATCATTACTACTGTAAACTGCTGGGGATGACCCATCGGTTAGATGGACGGTGTAGAAATCAAATGGATGAACAAATAAATGAATAAACAAGTGAATGAATGAACAAATAAGGTGGTCACAGCAATACATTTCCCTGATAGGAGTATCTACTTACTGTATTCATCCAGCTCCTTGCTGGCCTTATTGTTTCTGGATGTAAAAATACGGGACATATGGCTTATTATCTTTATGGTTCTGGAAAGCTGATGGGCACCTACTGAGCTCAGTGTGGGAGCAATATTTGACCTCATGATTCTTAGATCATTTCTTTTGCCAACATGGTACCCTCCAAGGATGTGTGAACTACAACTCCCATAGTCTCCTAGCTAGCTCGAGTTTTAGTTCAGACATTTGGAGGACACCAGATTGGGGAAGACTGGCTTAAATGTTGCATTTTGACCATTACATGTAGGGTGGGTTTTTTTTCTTTTCTTTTGTTTTTTGGCCAGTACTTCATTCCATTTTATTTCTGTCCTACACTTCCCCCAGTACAGTATTTGCCAATGCATCTCGCCACGTGGTCCAAAGAACAGATGTAGCGAAAGCATCTTAATTGTAAAGAGGGGGTTAAACAATTAAATATTTAATTGCAGTTCAGCCACCCAGGGCACAGCAATTTAGAAGGAAATCAGAATGCAAAACACAATCCCTTTGCTAATTGCCTGCTTTGTTCTCGCTTCTTATCAGAAAAGCTTGAACGAAACATTTGGAGATGACAAATATGCTGAAGCAAGGAAGGAAGTCCTGACTAACATGTTCTCCCGCCCCATGCAGGTAAGTCAAGGTGTCATCAGTCACAACTACCTCTTTCCTAGTTCAGCCGAGACCTCAGGTACGTTAGCCCCAGTCAGAGTGTGAGATTCTCACACAGACCAGGAGCTGTCACAGCTGGAACCATCAATGTCCGCCCCTCAGAAGTGCTCCTGGATGACCCCCCCACACACACACCTAGGTAGATCATTTTCTTGACAGACCTCATTGAGATGCAGAGCTTTTCCAGTTACGTTTGGGCTTTGCTGAAGCCAGAAGCCAGTTTGCCCCCATCCGGTAGAACGGTTCGTTCTTTGCTTGCTAGGGGCTTCTCCGAAACTCATAAGCAGTCGCTGGAAATACTGCTGAGGAATGTTCCCCCATATGAAGTTTAAATATTTCTGACACTTGCAGAACCAGCACCTTGGGGAAAGATATTTTCTGGAACAAGCTAGCTTCCTCAGTGGAGCAGTTACACTGTTAGACCAGTGTGGCCATGAAACCAATGACTTCTGGAAGTAGTGAGTGCTCCAAGACTGGAGGCCTTCAAAAGAAACTTAGACAACCACCTCACAGATATCCTTTGATCTGGATTCCTGCATCGAGCAGAATAAGAACCTAAGAGGAGCCCTGTGCTGGATCAGGCCGAGGGCCCGTCTCGTCCATCTCCCTGTATCTCTCCGTGGCCCCACGAGATGCCTCTGGAAGCACACAAGACCACAAGAGACCTGTCTCCAGAGGATTGGACTTGGTGGCCTTAGAAGGCCCCCTTCCAGCTTCATGATTCTAGGATACTAATTTCACCCTCCTCTCATGTGAAGGAACATTCCGTCACCCATGTTCTTACCACGGCCCTTAAGTGGTACGGCTGTTTGCTGGTGAGGAGAGACAGGACTGATTCAAGCCAGCCTCCGGAGCTCAAAAGAACCCACAGTTGCGCGAGTCAGTGAATGGATGCATGCTAAATCAACCAGCTCTGTTCTCCTGTTCTTCTTCTAAAAATCCTGTGGGGTTTCTGCGTACCCATTGGACGAGGGAGCCTCTCCTCTCTTGTGGTCAGGATCTCAAGACATGGCGAGAGGTGCTCTGAGGATGGAAGGGCGAGTAGGGAGTTGAAGCGATGGGTCAAAGGATGCTTTTCAAGCTCGGAGGTCATACCAGGCGCCTGCAACCTTTGCTGGCTGGGTGACATTAGAGAGTGATGGATGAGTCGCTGAAACCCAGATGCCTTCAGTTCACTATGGCCAACTACCCACTCACCCCATTCTAGGTTTTTCCCCTACACATGGGCAAGATGCAGGAAGGCTGCATTTTTGACCTTTTACGTGTTCATAAAGTAGGAGTGTCTGTTTGCGCGACCTTCTCTTCTTGAGCTTACAAGGATGTTCTTCTTTGTGCAGTGTGAAACTAACTACACAGCATGCCCTTGTTCAGGATAAATCCATTTAGGAATGCTTTTGGATCTCCAATTGCAGCTGGAGATTGATAAACAAATAGGAACACATCGAAAATAAGGGGGAAAATCCCAAAAAGCATCCAAACCCCCATCAGAAATGGGAGGGGGGGAACAAAAAGCAAACAAATTCCCCAGGACCCATCAGAAATGGGAAAAAACACTCCAAAAAGGAACCAGCCCCCCTATCGGAAATGGGGGGGAACAAAAAACAACCCCCCCAGACCCATCACAGCATGGAAACATAAACCATCTCCAGCCGAAAATCACGCTGCAAAAATACCCAGAACAGTTTTTTAAAAGTGTAAAGCAGCACCTTACCTTAGCAGGCAGCCTCCTGCGATCGCACTCTCTAACTGATGGGGTGAAAGAGCTACAAAGAAGCAGCCTTTTCACCACCTACAGTGGTGCCCCGCATGACGACGATAATCCGTTCTGTTAAAATCGCTGTAAAGCGAAATTGTCGTCATGCGAAAGTAAAAAAAAAACATTGGAATGCATTGATGGGCAAAATACCTGCTCATTTTGCGAAAATCCTCCATAGGGGAAGCCATTCTCGATAGCTGTCTTCTGGAAATAGGTCCGAAAAACAGCAGGGAGCCATTTTGAGTTGGTGAGCGCTCCGATGCTAGGGGCATTCAAGAGAAACTCAATCACCTGGCAGATATGCTTTGATTGTATTCCTGTGTTGAGCAGGGGGTTGGACTTGACTTATGAACTTAATCTGTATTGGAATGGTGTTCATAAGTCAAAACGTTCATACGTCAAAGCAGGATTTCCCATAGGAATGCATTGAAAACTGATTAATTCATTCCGGCTTTTTTTTTGTCCTTATATCAAGGCACGGTTCATAAATCAAAGCATTCGTTCCCATAGGAACAATTGCAAAGCCGGTTAATCCGCCCTCTACCACTAGAAATGGGAGGGGCGGAACAAAAAGCAAACAAATTCCCCAGGACCCATCAGAAATGGGAAAAAACACTCCAAAAAGGAACCAGCCCCCCTATCGGAAATGGGGGGGAACAAAAAACAACCCCCCCAGACCCATCACAGCATGGAAACATAAACCATCTCCAGCCGAAAATCACGCTGCAAAAATACCCAGAACAGTTTTTTAAAAGTGTAAAGCAGCACCTTACCTTAGCAGGCAGCCTCCTGCGATCGCACTCTCTAACTGATGGGGTGAAAGAGCTACAAAGAAGCAGCCTTTTCACCACCTACAGTGGTGCCCCGCATGACGACGATAATCCGTTCTGTTAAAATCGCTGTAAAGCGAAATTGTCGTCATGCGAAAGTAAAAAAAAAACATTGGAATGCATTGATGGGCAAAATACCTGCTCATTTTGCGAAAATCCTCCATAGGGGAAGCCATTCTCGATAGCTGTCTTCTGGAAATAGGTCCGAAAAACAGCAGGGAGCCATTTTGAGAACCGCCAGTCAGCTGTTTCTAATCGTCATCCAGTGAAAAAATGGTTCCCGAAGCAGGGAACTAGTCATCGTTAAGCGAAAAACCCCATAGGAACTCATCGTTAAGCTATTTCATTGTAAAGCGGGGTCATCCTCAAGTGAGGCACCACTGTACAGTTAGAAATTTGAATTTCCCGCCAAGTTCCCCTGCCTTTTTTTTTCTGCTTGTAAGTCAAAGCTCTGTTCTCAAGTCAAAGCAAAATGTTGTGAATGGAGCTGTTCATAACTCAAAATGTTCGTAGGTCAAGGCGTTTGTAAATCAAGGCACCACTATACATAATCTGGGTTCAAATCTGCTGAGCACCCATGATTGCAGAGATCGCTGTTTTGCTGCCATGTCCTAGAAGCATGTGTCCAGCCAGTGTGTTTTTCTCTCCATAGAGCTTGGGTTTTTCATGAGAGTCCCCAGCTTTAAACATGGCCATTAAAAATTAGAGGACATAACAGCACTCATGGGCAACTGCTGGTTCTTGCAATTATGTCCCTAGCCGAACCTATTCCGGGTTCCAAAATTCTCAGAAGGAAGGGCAATGCAGAGGAAGGTACCATGGGATGAAGCAGACTGTTGGTCCAACCTGACCACTCGTTCACAATCTTGGGTCTCCAGATGTTCTTGGACTAAAACTCCCAGAAATCTTCTCCACGAGCTGGTGGGCCAAGGTTGGGTCTGAGGACCCAAGGTTGGGAACCAGTGTTGTGAACACTGCACCAGATACAGCTCTACAGGCGCTCCCTATTTTTCTGGAGATGTCGGAGACTGGAGCAGGGGGCCTTCTGTGAACAGAGTTAGCGCTCTACCGCTGAACTCCCAAATGCTGTAGTTTGTCCACCACCATCCCAGGCTTGGTTTGGTTTGGAGAGGACCTCCGTTCCTGCCAAGAGAAACACTCCTTTAACAGATTGTGGCTTATGATCTGTTTCTTCCTTCCCGAAGCTGGTGCCTTTCAAATATGTTAGAATCCTATGAGCTCCCCCTTGTTTCACCCTGCTAGGGCAGTTTGCAAAGAACGGCCATGGCAACAAGAAAATAGATTATAAAACCATAGAATCACAAAATCACAGAATAATGAAGTTCGAAGGGGCTTATAAGGACGTCGGGTCCAACCTCCTGCTCAGTGCAGGAATCCAAACCAAAGGATATCTGACAGAGGGTGGTCCAATTTGCTCTTGAATGCCTCCAGCATTGGAGCGCTCAGCACCTCCTGCAGTGATGGGTTCCATTGTCATACTGCTCTAACAGTTGGGGCATTTTTCCTGATATTCTGCCAAATTCTGCTTCCTGCAGCTTGAGCCCATTGTTGCATGTCCTGCACTCTGGGATGATCGGGAGCAAGTCCTGCCCCTCCTTTGTAGGACAGCATTTCAAATATTTGAAAAGTGCTATCCTGTCTTCCCCAAGTCTTCTTCCCTCAGGGCTAAAAATGCCCAATTCTTTCACTTTTTCCTCCCAGGGCTTGGTTTCCAGCCCCCTGATCCTTCTTGTTGCCTTTCTCTGAACTTGTTCCAATTTGTCGGCATCTTTCTTAAAGTATGTTGTCCAAAACTGGACACAAAACTCAAGGTGAGGCCTCACCAGTGCTGAATAGGTGGGAGCCACCAAATAAAGTGATGGATAAAGCTTGCTTATTTATTTATTTATTTATTTATTTATTTATTTATTTATTTATTTATTTATTTATTTATTTATCTATCTATCTATCTATCTATCTATACAATAAAAATAAAATGATTAAAATACAATTAAAATCGCCACCATCAGGACCCACAGTTGATGTTATTTCAATTAAAAGCCTTCTGGAACAGGAAGGTTTTGACCTGGCGCCGAAACGTCATCAATGTCGGCGCCAGACGAATTTCAGTTGGGAGGGCGTTCCATAGTCTGGGGGCAGCTGCCGAGAAGGCCCTTTGTCTACAAGCCGTCCCTCTTACCTCCTTGAGGGATGGCTCTTTCAAAAGGGCCCCCTGGCTAGATCTTAACTGCCAGGTAGGCTCATATGGAAGGATTAAAATTGGACTTTCTGAAGCTCATTTTGCAGGGTATCTAAGAGGACTTTAAATGCTTGGGTGGATAGAAAGGGGGTTTTCCTGGCACTCAAAGGGAGCG